GTCGATGCACGCAGGCCAGCCCCCCCGCATAGAGCGCACACAGTTTGGGACATATTGGCTAGTATAACATAGTGTTGTGTATATATCCGCGTATACTCACTGGGCCGGGGTCGATGCACGCAGGCCAGCCCCCCCGCATAGAGCGCACACAGTTTGGGACATATTGGCTAGTATAACATAGTGTTGTGTATATATGTGCGTATACTCACTGGGCCGGGGTCGATGCACGCAGGCCAGCCCCCCCGCATAGAGCGCACACAGTTTGGGACATATTGGCTAGTATAACATAGTGTTGTGTATATATGTGCGTATACTCACTGGGCCGGGGTCGATGCACGCAGGCCAGCCCCCCCGCATAGAGCGCACACAGTTTGGGACATATTGGCTAGTATAACATAGTGTTGTGTATATATCCGCGTATACTCACTGGGCCGGGGTCGATGCACGCAGGCCAGCCCCCCCGCATAGAGCGCACACAGTTTGGGACATATTGGCTAGTATAACATAGTGTTGTGTATATATGTGCGTATACTCACTGGGCCGGGGTCGATGCACGCAGGCCAGCCCCCCCGCATAGAGCGCACACAGTTTGGGACATATTGGCTAGTATACATAGTGTTGTGTATATATGTGCGTATACTCACTGGGCCGGGGTCGATGCACGCAGGCCAGCCCCCCCGCATAGAGCGCACACAGTTTGGGACATATTGGCTAGTATACATAGTGTTGTGTATATATGTGCGTATACTCACTGGGCCGGGGTCGATGCACGCAGGCCAGCCCCCCCGCATAGAGCGCACACAGTTTGGGACATATTGGCTAGTATACATAGTGTTGTGTATATATCCGCGTATACTCACTGGGCCGGGGTCGATGCACGCAGGCCAGCCCCCCCGCATAGAGCGCACACAGTTTGGGACATATTGGCTAGTATAACATAGTGTTGTGTATATATGTGCGTATACTCACTGGGCCGGGGTCGATGCACGCAGGCCAGCCCCCCCGCATAGAGCGCACACAGTTTGGGACATATTGGCTAGTATAACATAGTGTTGTGTATATATCCGCGTATACTCACTGGGCCGGGGTCGATGCACGCAGGCCAGCCCCCCCCGCATAGAGCGCACACAGTTTGGGACATATTGGCTAGTATAACATAGTGTTGTGTATATATGTGCGTATACTCACTGGGCCGGGGTCGATGCACGCAGGCCAGCCCCCCCGCATAGAGCGCACACAGTTTGGGACATATTGGCTAGTATACATAGTGTTGTGTATATATGTGCGTATACTCACTGGGCCGGGGTCGATGCACGCAGGCCAGCCCCCCCGCATAGAGCGCACACAGTTTGGGACATATTGGCTAGTATACATAGTGTTGTGTATATATGTGCGTATACTCACTGGGCCGGGGTCGATGCACGCAGGCCAGCCCCCCCGCATAGAGCGCACACAGTTTGGGACATATTGGCTAGTATAACATAGTGTTGTGTATATATGTGCGTATACTCACTGGGCCGGGGTCGATGCACGCAGGCCAGCCCCCCCGCATAGAGCGCACACAGTTTGGGACATATTGGCTAGTATAACATAGTGTTGTGTATATATCCGCGTATACTCACTGGGCCGGGGTCGATGCACGCAGGCCAGCCCCCCCGCATAGAGCGCACACAGTTTGGGACATATTGGCTAGTATAACATAGTGTTGTGTATATATGTGCGTATACTCACTGGGCCGGGGTCGATGCACGCAGGCCAGCCCCCCCGCATAGAGCGCACACAGTTTGGGACATATTGGCTAGTATACATAGTGTTGTGTATATATGTGCGTATACTCACTGGGCCGGGGTCGATGCACGCAGGCCAGCCCCCCCGCATAGAGCGCACACAGTTTGGGACATATTGGCTAGTATACATAGTGTTGTGTATATATGTGCGTATACTCACTGGGCCGGGGTCGATGCACGCAGGCCAGCCCCCCCGCATAGAGCGCACACAGTTTGGGACATATTGGCTAGTATACATAGTGTTGTGTATATATCCGCGTATACTCACTGGGCCGGGGTCGATGCACGCAGGCCAGCCCCCCCGCATAGAGCGCACACAGTTTGGGACATATTGGCTAGTATAACATAGTGTTGTGTATATATCCGCGTATACTCACTGGGCCGGGGTCGATGCACGCAGGCCAGCCCCCCCGCATAGAGCGCACACAGTTTGGGACATATTGGCTAGTATAACATAGTGTTGTGTATATATCCGCGTATACTCACTGGGCCGGGGTCGATGCACGCAGGCCAGCCCCCCCGCATAGAGCGCACACAGTTTGGGACATATTGGCTAGTATACATAGTGTTGTGTATATATCCGCGTATACTCACTGGGCCGGGGTCGATGCACGCAGGCCAGCCCCCCCGCATAGAGCGCACACAGTTTGGGACATATTGGCTAGTATACATAGTGTTGTGTATATATGTGCGTATACTCACTGGGCCGGGGTCGATGCACGCAGGCCAGCCCCCCCGCATAGAGCGCACACAGTTTGGGACATATTGGCTAGTATAACATAGTGTTGTGTATATATCGCGTATACTCACTGGGCCGGGGTCGATGCACGCAGGCCAGCCCCCCCGCATAGAGCGCACACAGTTTGGGACATATTGGCTAGTATAACATAGTGTTGTGTATATATCCGCGTATACTCACTGGGCCGGGGTCGATGCACGCAGGCCAGCCCCCCCGCATAGAGCGCACACAGTTTGGGACATATTGGCTAGTATAACATAGTGTTGTGTATATATCCGCGTATACTCACTGGGCCGGGGTCGATGCACGCAGGCCAGCCCCCCCGCATAGAGCGCACACAGTTTGGGACATATTGGCTAGTATACATAGTGTTGTGTATATATGTGCGTATACTCACTGGGCCGGGGTCGATGCACGCAGGCCAGCCCCCCCGCATAGAGCGCACACAGTTTGGGACATATTGGCTAGTATAACATAGTGTTGTGTATATATGTGCGTATACTCACTGGGCCGGGGTCGATGCACGCAGGCCAGCCCCCCCGCATAGAGCGCACACAGTTTGGGACATATTGGCTAGTATAACATAGTGTTGTGTATATATCTGCGTATACTCACTGGGCCGGGGTCGATGCACGCAGGCCAGCCCCCCCGCATAGAGCGCACACAGTTTGGGACATATTGGCTAGTATAACATAGTGTTGTGTATATATCGCGTATACTCACTGGGCCGGGGTCGATGCACGCAGGCCAGCCCCCCCGCATAGAGCGCACACAGTTTGGGACATATTGGCTAGTATAACATAGTGTTGTGTATATATGTGCGTATACTCACTGGGCCGGGGTCGATGCACGCAGGCCAGCCCCCCCGCATAGAGCGCACACAGTTTGGGACATATTGGCTAGTATAACATAGTGTTGTGTATATATGTGCGTATACTCACTGGGCCGGGGTCGATGCACGCAGGCCAGCCCCCCCGCATAGAGCGCACACAGTTTGGGACATATTGGCTAGTATAACATAGTGTTGTGTATATATGTGCGTATACTCACTGGGCCGGGGTCGATGCACGCAGGCCAGCCCCCCCGCATAGAGCGCACACAGTTTGGGACATATTGGCTAGTATAACATAGTGTTGTGTATATATCCGCGTATACTCACTGGGCCGGGGTCGATGCACGCAGGCCAGCCCCCCCGCATAGAGCGCACACAGTTTGGGACATATTGGCTAGTATAACATAGTGTTGTGTATATATGTGCGTATACTCACTGGGCCGGGGTCGATGCACGCAGGCCAGCCCCCCCGCATAGAGCGCACACAGTTTGGGACATATTGGCTAGTATAACATAGTGTTGTGTATATATGTGCGTATACTCACTGGGCCGGGGTCGATGCACGCAGGCCAGCCCCCCCGCATAGAGCGCACACAGTTTGGGACATATTGGCTAGTATAACATAGTGTTGTGTATATATCCGCGTATACTCACTGGGCCGGGGTCGATGCACGCAGGCCAGCCCCCCCGCATAGAGCGCACACAGTTTGGGACATATTGGCTAGTATAACATAGTGTTGTGTATATATCCGCGTATACTCACTGGGCCGGGGTCGATGCACGCAGGCCAGCCCCCCCGCATAGAGCGCACACAGTTTGGGACATATTGGCTAGTATAACATAGTGTTGTGTATATATCGCGTATACTCACTGGGCCGGGGTCGATGCACGCAGGCCAGCCCCCCCGCATAGAGCGCACACAGTTTGGGACATATTGGCTAGTATAACATAGTGTTGTGTATATATCCGCGTATACTCACTGGGCCGGGGTCGATGCACGCAGGCCAGCCCCCCCGCATAGAGCGCACACAGTTTGGGACATATTGGCTAGTATAACATAGTGTTGTGTATATATGTGCGTATACTCACTGGGCCGGGGTCGATGCACGCAGGCCAGCCCCCCCGCATAGAGCGCACACAGTTTGGGACATATTGGCTAGTATAACATAGTGTTGTGTATATATGTGCGTATACTCACTGGGCCGGGGTCGATGCACGCAGGCCAGCCCCCCCGCATAGAGCGCACACAGTTTGGGACATATTGGCTAGTATAACATAGTGTTGTGTATATATGTGCGTATACTCACTGGGCCGGGGTCGATGCACGCAGGCCAGCCCCCCCGCATAGAGCGCACACAGTTTGGGACATATTGGCTAGTATAACATAGTGTTGTGTATATATATATGTGCGTATACTCACTGGGCCGGGGTCGATGCACGCAGGCCAGCCCCCCCGCATAGAGCGCACACAGTTTGGGACATATTGGCTAGTATAACATAGTGTTGTGTATATATATATGTGCGTATACTCACTGGGCCGGGGTCGATGCACGCAGGCCAGCCCCCCCGCATAGAGCGCACACAGTTTGGGACATATTGGCTAGTATAACATAGTGTTGTGTATATATCCGCGTATACTCACTGGGGGGGGGGTCGATGCACGCAGGCCAGCCCCCCCGCATAGAGCGCACACAGGCACGCGTCTAATTCGGCTCGGGTCACTCCTGCACAACCCCCGTCCAAGGGGACGCGCCATACACCCCTATAGAGGAAAAAATAATAATTATGTACGAGACGACCGCCTTACGACCGAAGCGAGAAGAAATGATCTTACGACAATATGAGATTGATTTATAAAATGTATCTATAATTTCACATGTATCGGTTGTATACACATTAAAATGATTATTCCCTTGTTGTCTTATTAGAATGAGTCGGATATCGCAATAATAGATAGCTTTGCCCATAGTAAGCGATTGTAAAATTGATAGTTCAGAGCGATATTCCGTCTCGTTCTCTCCAACAATCTTATAAGAATTTGTCTAAACGATCGCCACGACGCCAAGCGGTGGCGCGGGGAAACTAGTTAGAATATTGATAGTTCCGACCTTTAGGAGGGACAGAGACGATAGGCTGTCCTTTTCTAACATCTTATAAGATTTTACCTGAATTGTAAGCATTCGTAAATAGTATGTTTTTATGTTTCGATTTATTTGTTTTATATCTTATTAAGAAATAGGTAGTTATAAGAGTAACATACCAAAGTTTTGTGTAAACGTATTAATAGTTTAGGCATAATTGAGGAAAATGTCAAATATAGTTTTTTACGAATAGTTGATAGGATATAGGTATAATTGTAATGATAATGATGTTGTTTGCGTGTTTTTACTTCCTCTGTAAAATGATATATGATAGTTAGGCATTAAGTGAATGTAAGTAGGTTTTTTAAGACTTCTTAATTTGTAATCTTTATAGGGCCGTAGAGCTGTTATTTCTTAATATTCTTATTAGAAACTTATTGTATTAGGTAGATAACGCATAGGACTACATAAATAAATAGGCATCACATCAATAAATGTAGAAATGTACCGTGTAGGAGACAAAATCTGTTTGTATAGAACGGTTTTCTAAGACATGTTGCGCTCCCCACCCGGCGCGCCCGGAGCGCGTGGGTGGGGCAGCGAAGCCCCGTGGCAGGGCGAAGCCCTATGGAGGGGGAAAGTATAAATATTGCGGAGACCTATTTTTTGCGCGCCACACCTAAAATATCATGCTTACGGACACATAACTGTGTTAAAAATATGCCTATTTGTATGCCCGATGTATGTATGTATAGTTTTAAGCTCGCACTTATGTAATTTTTGAGAAAATGAAAAATAAAGTATAGCGGGGGTGAGGTAATGGATCGCTGGCCAGCTCAGTCCTAGCATATAAAATTCGAGTCGGAACATGCTCCGACATGCATTCAGCGACAGGCGCTCCTACCCTAAGGAACAGGAAGAAACACTCAAGCGGTTCACTCTGGACCTGAAGCCTCCTCTCACCGGCCATCCATTATCAGCGCCCACCGATTTCTTCAATACCGAACACCAGGGGTTTTATTCGCCGAAACTACAGTCCACTACAGTCAAGACTCCTGCGTGTAACTTCCTCCACCCCGCGGTACGAGTCGGTAACTGTCCGCTACTGCGACAGCCCGGCGTCCCGTACAAATTATATTAAAGAATTATTCCCTACAATAAGATATTTCCCAGTTTGAGTATTGAAACCCTAGATTTAAGCCTATTTTACAAATATATATTTTCATTTATATTTGTAAAACGAAAAACAAATAAAATAAGATTACAATTACATTAATAACCCAGAAAAAATAAATTCAATACTTTAATATTCAACAGGATAATAATCAAAACCAATAAATGCATCGATTCATTTGATAAGGATAATATAATTAATGTCATGCATAATTTAAATATTAGTCAATAGAATAGAAAGCCTTTTCTCTCGTCTTGATCTTCGTTTTTTCTGTATCATGTTACTATAATGCGATTCAACTAAAAATAGGACCGACTGGGACAATATTTTGACGTCATAGCTGTCAATTCAAACCAAATAGGTAGAGTGAGCAAAAAATATTGCTATTTAATAAAACTTATTTACTAAGATTAAGTGAGAAAAAACAACCTATTCTTAATAATATTTCTTTATTAAGACTATGTGAGAACAAACATTAATCAGAATCTAGTTCTTCAATTCCGCTCATCTCTGCATTACCGCCGGAGTAGTTATGAATAATCATGGAGGTCACATACGAACATGCATTCTATATGTAAACGAAGTAATATTGACATAAAGTGACATTTGGTTGACGATTTAGTTTATCAACCATTCATAGCCAAAGTTCTATAAATGAAAAAAAAAATATTAATTATCAATATTTGTTATTTTTTGTTTAAAAATGTTTGATTTTTATTCTAGAATTAGCTGAGTGCTAAAAAAGTGTTCCGAGTTTTTTTTGTAAACTGTACTTTTCAAGCGACATTTAGCAGACGGAGGTCATTGGCTTTCCTATTCTTATTTGAATCGCATTATATGTGTAATTTTTAAACAAGGTGCCGTTGACACCCCAGCTATGTTTCAATGTAAATAGAAAACTTTAGATAGCGATAGCACAAGCTCTTATGTGTTTGGTCCTTCGAGCCGGATAGTTGCGGGTTGTACTCACGGTGGGTACCTGGCCAGCAGGCGGCGGAAGTATGAGGATCGCGCGACAAGGATGCAGCGATGCGCGCACACCGCCCACCCCGCCCCCACTAGCTCTACGTCGCACCACCATCTGTCAACAAAACGGGGCCCTTTCACATTTTTTGCAAAAAATCGCAATTTTTGAGCGCCTCGTTTACCCCCTTAGAATTTCTTTTGACTATTTCCAGTAGAAGTAAACAGTAAATTTATTCTTCCTATTGAAAGTTAATGTAGAATAATTACAAATACTATATTTGTTTCTTAGGTTTTCACGCACATCACTCATTAAATAAAACTAGTTTTTACGGGTTAATGCACGAAACTTTATTTATTTATTGACGTTTATTTAATTACAAATACTATTTTCCTTTTTATGCACTGATCGTTCTAGCGCAGCTAGTTTACGGAAAAAACGCGTTTGAAGTTGTGCATATGAAATGAAATGAAAAGTCATTTATTCAGTCTAGGCTGTTACAAGCACTTGTGAAAGTCAAGAAGCTACGCCATCGGCAAAACTACGGCGGGAGACCTTGTACTGAGAAGAACCGGCAAGAAACTCAGCAAGGGCTGCTTTTTTCTCCCTGTATTGATATATACAGAGTCGTCAAGTTGAAAAATGACTTCAGACATACTTCTGAAGTCACCTTCCATTACATTATTTAGGGTATAGATATATAGTTACAACAAATTTTATATTTAGTATATATAGGAAGCGGCATTAGATAGGTACCATACTACTGTTACAAAACTGACTCATACCCATCAAATAAGAAATTACAAGAAACACTATGTCCATGCATTACGATCATTTAGATAATCATTAACTTTATAATAGCCCTTATTCATAAGAGTATTCTTAATCTGAGATTTAAATTTGGTTAGTGGAAGCTCAATCAGATCTTGGGGAACTTTGTTAAACAATGCAATACTACATCCCAGAAATGAACCTCTAGATTTTTGGAGTCTGAAACATGGAACGGCAAGCTTGTTCTTAAATCTCGTGTTTAAGTTATGGGTTTGACTTTTTTTTGCAAATGCGTCATAGTTTCTTCTTACATATATTATATTTTCATAGATGTATTGCGATGCCAGTGTTAAAATATTAATTTCTTTAAATTTTTCTCTAAGAGATTCTCTTGCCTTTAAATTATATATGGCGCGAACAGCTCTCTTTTGCAGTACGAAAATACTTTCTATATTAGCAGCTGAGCCCCACAACAAAAGGCCATATGACATAACGCTATGAAAGTAACCAAAGTAAACCATTCTTGCCGTTTCCACATCAGTTAGGAGTCTTATTTTTTTAACAGCGAAGGCCGCAGAGCTCAGTCTACTTGATAAGGCATCAATATGAGGATCCCATTGCAGATGCGAGTCTAAAGTAATACCCAGAAACTTTGTAGAATCCACTAACTCTACAGGCTGCTCATTTATTTTTAAACTAGTATTAACCTGCCTCACATTAGGTAAAGTAAACTTAACACATTTTGTTTTGCTAGAGTTTAGTTTTAAATTATTTACCGTAAACCAGCGAAGGACTTCAGAGAGAGCACAATTTACTTCGTCATAACAATCATTTCCTCTCCTGGCTTTAAACACTAAAGAGGTGTCATCAGCAAATAGTACTGTCTCACACAAATCTCTTGTAAAGTGAGGAAGGTCATTAATATAAATAAGGAAAAGCAATGGGCCCAATATTGAACCCTGGGGCACGCCCATAGAAATGGGTGCTCCTGTAGACTCAGCTTCATTTATAACTACTTTCTGAATCCTAGCAGAAAGATAAGACTGTATCAGACTTAGTGAAATATTTGATACACCATAATGCTTCATTTTTTTTAACAATGTTTCATGGCTAACGCAGTCAAACGCCTTAGATAAATCGCAAAAAATGCCAATAGCATCGTGCTTACTCTCCCATATATCAAAAATGTGTTTGAGAAGTGCAGTTCCAGCATCAGTAGTACTTTTGCCTCTAGTGAAACCAAACTGTTTTAAATGAAGTAGCTTATTTATAGAAAAGTGTGCTAGTAATTGGTTATAAATTATTTTCTCAAATACTTTACTTAGCGCTGGTAATACAAATACATATTATATGCACAACTTCAAACGCCTGAATCTCTAAATAATGTTCAATAAATTAGCTCAAATTAATTACTACAACATCAGAAATGTTTTTATTGTAACATAATGTATTAGAATTTTGATTTTCCATTTCTTTAATTATCAAAAAAAAAACATCTAACCTCCGTGAGTTTTCCCAAAAATCCAATGCAGGTTTACCTGGTATTTTGATATTGAATTAAACAGAATTACTATCAAAAACTTTCATAAAACTAATCTACCATCATTGAACTACTGAAATATGTATATATTTTTATGATTACTTTATTAATAATTATTTTATAAGAATCGAAACATCACCCGTAAAATGCAATATATACTAGTGCAAATCTACCTACGCGCCGATCAGTACGGCAGCGGCACAATTTTGTAAAAGGGCTCTTAATATTGGTTTCAAAAGGTAACTTGATAAAATCCAGTCCAAGCGTCAGACAGGATTCAAACCTGCAACATCCGCCGAGATATGACTTATCCTTAATTAAACATGGCAATTTTAGCAGTACTAGCCAAATAATGCTATTTTTATTTATTAATTTATTTCTGTGCTTTATACACGTAGGGACTGGACGGCGTACTGTAGGAACCTGTGCGCATATTGTATCAATCATTTAGTACTTAGATTACGCCAAGCATGAGAGATTTGTAGGGCCTGCCTTACTTTTAAGCGACGTTATTGTAGACGACGATAATTAAATAAATGTGTGTTTTTATAATATGTTATCGTTGTTTTATTTGTCAAAAAAGCATTTGTCAACGTAAACATTAACATTTTTGTCACTATTAACATTGCCTTTAAATCGTATGTCACTATGTTCAATTAGGAATAACTCAGAACGGAATAAGAATTGGAATTTGGGGCTATAATAACTTTTATTCAGCTTAAAAATACCTATTCAACGATGTCACACACATAGCTATTGTAAGGTACGACCAGATTTCATACAAACTCTGGCATCATCCTTAGTGCGAACTTCTCTACATGGATTACTTCTTACTATAAAAAAAAATAAATTAATAAAAAGTCTGGAAAAGGACACAGTCAATAAAGTTCAGTTTTAATTTGAAAAAATAAATAATTAATCAAAATATTCAATTAAAATCACTACTGAATATAATTTATTAGACATATGTGATTTGCACTTGTATGAAACTCAAACACGTATTCCGAATATACAAACTAGAAACATGTGGATAAATATTATAATTATGAATACCTATAACTGTTACTTTATTACAAATATAAAGATGTGGTTTTTGGTTCTACTACACCAATGGTCAAGAGATGGCGCTGTAGTCTCCTGAATCGCGCTTTGGTTCCGTTGTTCCAGATTAATAAATACTTTTGATATTATAAATATGAATACCTATAACTGTTACTTTATTACAAAAAATAAAGATGTGGTTTTTGGTTCTACTACACCAATGGTCAAGAGATGGCGCTGTAGTCTCCTGAATCGCGCTTTGGTTCCGTTGTTCCAGATTAATAAATACTTTTGATAGGCCTTCACAATGCAGTCGTTAGCACCCACTAAATAGAGAATCTATTTCTATCTATATGCTAAAGCGACCAACTTCATGCTGTTAAAAATTTGTGTTACAGTGATGCGCGCGCATCTTAAAATTTCACTCTCATCATTTTTTCATAACGCGCCTAAAGAAGTATAACTTCAAAATGTCTTGTAAATATCGATAGGGTTCCCTAGCCAGCTCGGCCTGCGTCACGAGGTCCCGTAGGGCAGCGCCGGCCTCCAGCTCCTCGCACAGCAGGAACACTTGGGCCACACTATGAGCTCACCTATCGTTGAGCGCCCTCGCCAACGCCATAGGCAGCGCCGGGGCGGGTTCCCTAGCTAGCTCGGCCTGCGTCACGAGGTCCCGTAGGGCAGCGCCGGCCTCCAGCTCCTCGCACAGCAGGAACACTTGGGCCACACTATGAGCTCACCTATCGTTGAGCGCCCTCGCCAACGCCATAGGCAGCGCCGGGGCGGGTTCCCTAGCTAGCTCGGCCTGCGTCACGAGGTCCCGTAGGGCAGCGCCGGCCTCCAGCTCCTCGCACAGCAGGAACACTTGGGCCACACTATGAGCTCACCTATCGTTGAGCGCCCTCGCCAACGCCATAGGCAGCGCCGGGGCGGGTTCCCTAGCTAGCTCGGCCTGCGTCACGAGGTCCCGTAGGGCAGCGCCGGCCTCCAGCTCCTCGCACAGCAGGAACACTTGGGCCACACTATGAGCTCACCTATCGTTGAGCGCCCTCGCCAACGCCATAGGCAGCGCCGGGGCGGGTTCCCTAGCTAGCTCGGCCTGCGTCACGAGGTCCCGTAGGGCAGCGCCGGCCTCCAGCTCCTCGCACAGCAGGAACACTTGGGCCACACTATGAGCTCACCTATCGTTGAGCGCCCTCGCCAACGCCATAGGCAGCGCCGGGGCGGGTTCCCTAGCTAGCTCGGCCTGCGTCACGAGGTCCCGTAGGGCAGCGCCGGCCTCCAGCTCCTCGCACAGCAGGAACACTTCGGCCAAACGCCAGCGCGACACCACGGATCGGATGAAGCGCGCGTGCTCGCAGCCTACAAACGATACCAACAAAATCTATTCATCTATCAATGTGTGAACCAGCTTTAGTATCTGGTAACGCCAAAACATATTATAATTTATATTCCGCGCCATCCGTTTCTCGAATTAACCGCATCTAGGGTTACTATTTAAAAATTTGAAAAGTCCGTACAAAAAGCCGGACATTTCGACAAAAGTCCGAACTTTTTAGTTACAATATGCAAACTTAGTTACAGTGGTATAATACGCGTGGTAGCAGACGCTCGCATCGCGAGCAACTAGGAATAACCGCTAGCATTAAGTTAATTTTTCCTAAAACTGATTTTTTGGTTTTGAAGAAAACATTTGATTGTTTGCAATAGAAAGAAGGTTTTATTGGTTGTTCTCGTTTTGAATTTCTAAAGACGATTTATACTTTGTTTTAAATTAATGAGAATTTAATAAAGATTATTTGACTTATTTAATATAACTTAATAAGTAGTTTTACTCATATTCCATTAAATTTAAAAAAGTCCGGACAAAGACCTTAACTTAACTCAACTTATTTTGTAAATTAGTTTTATCTAGATCTTTTTTTCTTACGAGTACAAGACTCGTGTACGTCACTCATACGTCACGCGTACATTATATGTTGCCCAAGTGCAGGTGGCTCGATTGAGCAATCGTGTTGAAAAGTGCTTATTGGACAGATTTAGTTCATTTAAAACCTTCGGAAAGTTCGGTTAACCTTCAATCGTGGAAGCATCTTGACGTATAGTTTTAACACCCGATTATCGTGATCAATTACTATTAGTTTTTCTGTAAAACATTTAAGTAAATAAATTTATAATTAAAAGTATAGTTTTTAAACCTGACAGCTCAATAGGGTATTTGACAAGTTTCAGAGAACGATCTCACGTTATTGACTAATGTTTATGGAGTCCGTAAAAAGTGGATATTCATCATTCTGTTGTGTATTTTAGTAAAGATAACCAAATCAAAAACTCCATTTTCAAGTTGCCGCGAAAACGTTTCTCTGGACAAAATGGCGTCTTACTAGTGTGTGACGTCACACGACTGTTATTAAAACGTCAAACGATAGTATGTAATGTCACTTTAACCGGAAGTTTACTTGCTTATGACTTCATTTTAGGCTCCACCAATCCCAAGCGTTTTGGGTCACGTGACAATAGATAAGAAAACTATTATCTTTTTCGTGGGTTTTTAGTAAAATTATGAATATTTTTATTGTAAAAATAGTCAAAACCCCTGCCAATATTCGTTCTAAAAACAGATGCTTACAATTGGCACTTTATTTTTAATACTGTCAAATACCCTATTCCGTAATTAACTTCACAAACAGTTGATCAACAAATGTTGCTTCATGAATACGCGATACAAGTGTAAGTATAGTACCTCTGTCGGGGCGGGAATCCCGGGGCCTGCGCGCGGCGGCCACGATACGCCGTCGGAGGGTGCCGAGGGCCGCGCCGCCCGCTTTCTTCTTCCTCTCCCTGACAACAAACCACCCATACACCATAGACAAGCAAGCCTGCGCACTACCAATAGGGGAATAGACAAGTTTTAAGCCAGAAACATTTTTTAGTTAGTAAGTTCTTCAGGGCGGTTTCCGCACTTAGTCCTAATTATTGGACCATTGTGCGTGTCTCAAAAACATTCCCGTTTACTCCAGCCAGCCTATATCGGTCCAGACGGAAAGCAACCTTGGTAGACTGCTGCAAGCTTCCGGAAACGATTCTGGTGACTGGAGAAGTCGTGCCCGTTGGTCGGCCACACTCCTGCATTCCATGATGACATGCTGTGGCGTTTCTTCTGCCTCCATGCATCCTCTGCATAGGGGGCTGTCCGTTACTCCTATTGTATATAGGTGTTTGTTTAGGGGACAATGACCAGTCAGGGATCCTATAATCCTACGAAAAAGCCAGAAACATATTAACGTGTCGTGGCGCATCGGTTTCATACATTTATTATGGGTTAGAGAGAGATAGAGAGGTTAAAGCGTCGACACGACACGATACGTAAATATGTCTCTAACCATAGTAAATGTATGAAACCGATGTGCTTCTGGCGCGCCACGACACGACACGTTAATATGTTTCTGGCTTTAGAAAAAGATCTCATAAAAAGTGGTCATTTGTAATTCTTTTGTGAAATTCAGCACAAAAAAACTATTTTCAAGTTGCCGCGAATACGTTTCTCTGGACATTATGGCGGCCCACTAGTGTGTGACGTCATACGGCTGTCATCAAAACGTCAAAGATACAGCGTAATGTTACTTTGGCTTTAATGTTTATCAAGGAGAAATCAGTCGAGACCGTTTGTATGGCAAAATCGTTGCACGCCTCCCCTTTTAAAGGTCTTTCTTTTAAGAGTACTTGTTTATGTCATAAATACAAAGGACCATAAATCTGGTAGCATGCGGTACGCATTAGTTTGGCGATACAACAAAGTAATAAAATAAAAAAATATTTCCAACACTCACACCAATTAGCCTAGCCCCAAAGTAAGCAATGTAAGGCTTATGATATGGGATACTAGGGTAACGGATAGATTACACATACTTTACATATATAAGTACATTTATATAGAAATACATATTAAACATCCTTGACTGAAGTACAAATGCTCGTGTTTATTACACAAACATCTGCCGCCACCGGGATTCGAACCCGGGACCTCTCGAGTCGGCGACGCCATGAAACCCGGCGTAGAAACCACTGGGCCACGGAGGTCGTCGGTAACGCTGCTAGTCTTTTGGGTCGGTCATAGGGATGGGTGACCAAACATTTTCAACTTTCTAACTTCATGTTGTTCCAGAGGCACATAAAGCTGTTGGTCCCGGCTGCATCTGTAGATGTAACCCATTGGGCTCGCGTATAGAGACTGCCCTATGACCGACTGCCTTCCTAAACTTTTTTTCATTTTAAAATCTGTTTTTTATATTTTTTATTTTATAGTCATAATTGTTTTATCATTTACATTTGTAATGGAAAGTGACTTCATGGGTTATCTCATATTGAATTTTCAAATTGACGACTCTGTATATAATACAGGGAGAAAAAAACAGCCCTTGCTGAGTTTCTTGCCGGTTCTTCTCAGTACAAGGTCTCCCGCCGTAGATTTGCGAACCGATGGCGTAGCTTTTTGACATTCACAAGTGCTTGTAACAGCCTAGACTGAATAAATGATATTGATTTTTGGTTTATTTTTTGAATTTTGCCCGTTTTTCTTTTTCCATCCACAGGGGAGGCCAGTGTCCCAGTGGGCAGTGGGCATCTGATGGTGGATGGTGGATCTCGTACCCGGGAAGGCCCCGGCCCATTGGTGAGGTCATCGTCAGGTTTTTAGTGGGTAGGGTCCCCTTTCTCTCGAGCAGCCGTTCAGCCGAACCGCACTCCCAGGGCGGTGAGGTATGCGTAACGCATTTTTATGAAGTTAAAAAAAAATGTGTCTCACTGACCTGATGACGTCCGCCATGGTGGGCGGTGCGGCCGGCAGACAAATATCTCAGGATATAATTGTTGATAAATATCTCAGGAAGTTTTAAGCGATCTGTTTATCCAAATCAGGTAGGTACTTCATTTTCGGTACTAAAGTTTAACGGACCCAAATCTGGACTGGAGGAGGGCCAGTCTTCGTGCCGAATGAAGTCGATTTCACGCGCCGCCAGCCAGTCTTGTGTGCTCTTCGCGCTATGAGCTGGCGCCGAATCTTGTTGGAATACCCAGTGCCTGTTATTGAACATGGTATGCGAAACAGGTTCCACAAGGTTCGTCAGGACTGTATTTGATACACAACTGCATTCGTTTTTACGCCTTTCTCACAAAAATGTACCTTTATTAAGCCCCAATAAGAAACCCCCAACCATACCATGAGCGAGGATGGAAAATGACCTCGTTGGACACGCGGAATACGGTTGCTCGCTTCTTCACTACTGTGTACGTACACCTTATCATTTTGTTTGTTGTAGCTCTCTTCTACGAAAAAAGAATTTCCCGATATTTGAAGTGAAACTTCTTTATCGGCGTTGGAAAAATTTACCGTCACATTTTTATTCGGTTACGCGTCACGTTTTTTGGTAACGCGCCATCTCTTTTTTAAAAGAGCACTATTTACCTCGTCCGAACAATTGCTTCTTCTGTCAACTTTAAAAAAAAAGTATCGACAGCAAATATTCGTGTTTCACACAAGGTAAGGTAAGGTAAGGTAAGGTAAGGTAAGGTAAGGTAAGGTAAGGTAAGGTAAGGTAAGGTAAGGTAAGGTAAGGTAAGGTAAGGTAAGGTAAGGTAAGGTAAGGTAAGGTGTAGTTATACCCCTTTACTGGGTGAGTTTTTGAAAAATCTTAGCTCACGCCTATATATATATATTTCTGGAAAGTTGCATATAGATCATTTTGCGAAAAAAATAAGGCCATAAAGAAGTTTCACTTCTTACGTGTGTACACTAGTACACGCACACATTTCTTTTTTATCCCGCGTACCGCTTCAACAAAGCGCGGCATCTCTTCAGTCTCAGGTCCATTAGACGAGCATTCAAATGATGTCCTGTGTTACATCTATATATATATGTGTGTGTGTGTGTGTGTGTGTGTGTGTGTCTCACTGACCTGATGACGTCCGCCATGGTGGGCGGTGCGGCCGGCAGACCGGCGTCGTCGCACACGTCTCCATCCTGCACCAGGAACGACATAATGTGTTACATCTTATATATATATATACTAGCTGACCCAGCGAACTCCGTACCGCCCTAAAAAAATAGGGGTTGTCCAGCGGACAAAATTGTGAAGATATATATATCTTTATATATATAATTCTTCTGTGAGTGTGTATGTCACTGAACTTCTCTTAAACGACTGGACCGATTTTGATGAAATTTTTTGTGTGTGTTCAAGGGGATCTGAGAATGGTTTAGATTCACAATTTTGTCCGCTGGACAACCCCTATTTTTTTAGGGCGGTACGAAGTTCGCTGGGTCAGCTAGTATATATATAAAACTCAAAGGTGACTGACTGACTGACATAGTGATCTATCAACGCACAGCCCAAACCACTGGACGGATCGGGCTGAAATATGGCATGCAGGCTTAGATTAAAACAAAAAGGGTAGATACGGCACTAGCCTCACAAAAGTGATGCGCACCAATTGTGGTCCACGACCCTAATCGCTTTAGTCACAACTTGACATGCAAACGACGTACATGTGAACGCCAAAAAGAAATATTGCTAATATTTTGTGTTTAAATGATAAAACAATCCCTAAGTGTATTTTTAAAAAGTGCTCAAATTGCTCAAGAACTAAAAATAAAACCCACGGCATCACTTTTCATTCGTAAGTACTATAAAATATATTTTTTCATAAAAATTGTTCTTTGTTTTGAATCTTATTCGGTAGTGACGTCGAGTACTGGTCGCCTGATTGGTCGGTAATGCAGTGACGCGGATCTCGCCGTCTCGTTTGCGCTGCCGTTGAAACTTAACGTGCTGTTTCGTTCGGGTCGGTAATGCAGTGACGCGGATCTCGCCGTCCCGTTCGCGCTGCTGTGTGATCAGTTTTTGTTTGATGCAAGTATGAGCGTACCGTATCTACCCTTTTTGTTTTAATCTAAGCATGCAGGTAGATGTTATGACGTACGCATCCGCTAAGAAAGGATTTTGATCAATTCTACCCCCAAGGGGATAGAATAGGGAATGAAAGTTTGTATAAAACTTTGTCAATTTTAAACCGATCGGGCTGAGACTTTGCATGCTAAGAAGAAACATAGATGAATGTCATCATGTATAATACAAGCCTGAGAACAAAAACTGTAGTCTACACTTCAGCTCTACACCGAAGCGAAGCGAGGGCGGGCGAGGGAGTCTTTAAATAAAACAAGTTTCAACGGATATACAGAGAATCTTATTGACAGATGGCTTAATAGAGATATACAATAACTGCAGAATACCCAGCCAATTACCATCTATCATACAAAACACTAATACATATGCTATATTATTTGGATATATAATGAATACTTTCGAAGACATATAAAATGATGAAATTAATTAATGAATGGCCGAAATGGAGAAATTCACGGCCGAAAAACTTAAAAAAAGAATTTGCTAATAAGTTCATTCATAGACAATCAAGTTTTGAAAATCTCCCAATTAAATATCTGCTCGATGGCGCAGGTGGTGAGCGCGTTCCGCTGGAAATATTGAAGTTAAACAACTTTCGCAGTGGTCGGTCATTGGATGGGTGACCAAAAATTTACTATCTGTCGCTCCTCCGTGCTTCGGAAGGCACGTTAAGCCGTTGGTCCCGGCTGCATCTGCAGTCGTTAGCAGCCGCCAATCCGCACTGGGCCCGCGTGGTGGCCCAATCTCCCTATTCCATCCATAGGTTCAGGCCTGTGCTGCAGCAGTGGGGACATAAATAGATTGATACACTCTAACCCTACTAAATGTATCGCTTTACGACACACCACTACAGACAAATTTATTTCCGGCTTTACTAGGCCATATGAGCCTAAGACGGCCATCGGCTTTAGAATGCCGTCATTATTGGAGGCAGGGAAAAACGCCTACCGGTTCCGTGTCTACCTAATACTAAGCTAGTGTGCATGTTTGCTAGCTGTGTAGTTTTTTTTATAGAACCAAATGACTCTACCCCACCTGATGTTAAGTGAGTGAGTTAAGGTGATAAAGTGATGTTAAGTGGTGATAAAGTGCAAACGCGAAGATAGCTGGTACAACAGTTATAAACTGCTTCTTCACGCCTCTCTTAAAGGACCCCAGATTGTAGGAAGGGGGGAACACGTGCGCGGGCAAAGAATTCCACTTAGGAATAGTACGACACAGAAATAAGTCACCAAATTTTTTTGTTCGTGTTGGAATAGTGTGTTTGTAGTCTGTGTAGAAGAAGTCAGAGCCGCGGGTGTGATTTTATCGTTCAATCGGAGGGAACAAACGGTGTGTCTGAAAACCTAAGTAATGATAGTGTGTGTGTGTGTGTTGTAGAGACCTTTTTTTTATTATTACGCAGGTAAAAAATGCTATTTACAGACGACGGCGCCTTTAAGAGGCACACCGCCGAAGTGTGTTGTAGAGACCTGCACTTGCGACAGCGCGGCGCCCATGTCTGCGGAGGGCGCGCACAGCCAGCACAGCAGCCGGCTCATGAGGCGCCCGACATCACCGAGACATGGCACGCCACCCACGCCCTGTAGCAACAGGGAAATATCCAAAATTAATAATAATAATAACTGTTATATCTGTGATTAGCCCTTCGAATTTACACTTAATTCACTTGTAGTAGCACGCATTATGTGCTGCCATCGTACATGACGACGACAATCTCGAAAGGCGAATCATCGTCATGTACGATGGCAGCACATAATGCGTGCTACTACAAGTGAATTAATTATATTTGACCTGTTCGATTTGAGTTAATTTACTTTGTTAAGATATGATTATAATTTGACTATGATGATATGATTTGACCATTATGATATGCTATACTTTTACTTGATTCGTTTTTTAACTTGATTGCTTGAATTTAGTTGGACTTGATTAAATTAAATTTGAATTAATCTACAACATTTTTATACTGTAAAATGAATGTATATATTGTTAAGCTCAAGTTTGCAGCTGGCCAAAACCAAAACTCAGTAAGCCACATTTGGAAAATTTTACAGGATGTGCAGGAATATCTTTTGGCTTGTCTTTAGCATATTTAAACATAGTATAATAAAGTGTTATACCTCAATCAAAGTGTAATTAATTGCCTGTTTTTTTAGTCCTCTTTTCTAAATGAATTATCTTTCACTGTAACACTAAGTAACTTGCAGCTTACACATGCATTTTTATTTTATCATGCTATTTACCATTAATTAAGTGACTATTTGTTTACCTATATAACTGCTATGCTCTGTCCTGTTTCTGTATCATATTTAATCAACCTTTTTACATCCTTCTTTTATCTGGCTGTTTTAGCAAAAACATAAACAGAAGATTTTTTCATTGTAACAACATGCTGACAATATGTTTATGCTTTTGGACCAGACCAGGCCATTTTGAAGAGCATAACACAGGTGTATCAGGACAGCTTAATTGTTTCGTCTGAGTTGGACCTTACTGTATTTTGGTTTTGAGCAGCCGTTTGTTGCAACATCCCAACGGGGTCATGTTCCACTCACTATTAACTATGTAAGACCTTAAAATGAATATAAATGTGAAATAAATGAGTTAATTCAAGTAGAGAAAAGACATGGTGCTAACAATCCTTGTTATAATTTGGATTTGATAAAAAATAATAAAAGGTAACAGTAAAACGTCATGTTTTTTTAATAGTGAGATAAGGGGCTGATTTTGCTTAAAGACCAAATAACAATATTTAAAAACTAAAACTTAAACATAACAACTCTAAACAGAGTAAACCACCACCAAGTGAAAAGGTGCCCATTGCCTATAAATTGGTTAATATGTAATATATAATCTAAAGGAATATTTTAATAACGATTTATAAAAATGTCTTTTGCATGGGCCCATGCAGTAACATCTAGCAGTATCACTAAATGTATCATTTTTGCAATAAAGAATTATTCTATTCTATTCAGTTTTAATACAAAAAAGTGCTCATTCTCAAAATATTCCCGTTTTATGTGTAACATAAACAATAAAACATTAAATTATTATTTATTTACTGACCTAATGTTAAGAAAACAAAAATCAATTCTGTAAAATATAAAATGTCTTTTCGTAGTTTATAATGCCTTTTCTTATTAATTTAATATTCTATCACCGATCAAATTCTAGGTAAATTGTTATTATTAAAAATGAGATTTTAAGTTAAAGGTTAAAGGAGAAATTGAGATTAAGCAAATTTGCTGCAAGTGGATGCAAAATTAAGAATGCTAATAAGCCCCTGCTTTTCTTGTACCCTTTAAATCTTATTGTATAAGTATAATATGATAAAACTAGTTTTAATGGGTTAATGCATGAAACTTTATTTATTTATTGATGTTTCGCAGACTTCAGGTCGTAATCTGATGATGCACACCTGAAAAGGCTGTGAAACGTCAATAAATAAACAAAGTTTTGTGCATTTAACCGTTAAAACTAGTTTTATTTAATGAGTGATGTGCGTGAAAACCTATGAAACAAATATAATATGATAGTTAAAATAACCAATAAGTTTTAGAATTAATATAAAAAAGTCAGACCTGTGTCTTGTAAATAGTAAACTAAATAGTTTACTTAACTTTTACTCAGTATTGATATCACACAGTGAATATTATTAGGTTAATGAGTTATGAGAATTATCAGTCTTCAATGTCAACAATATTTATCTGAAATCAAACATACCTTTTATCATCCTGAATATGTGGACACATTGACATGAATCCATGAATTCTTTAATCTGCACAACATTCATGCAAACCACATCAACACATTTCACACTTCTATCAAATTATATGTTGTGATTTATTGGTTTATATTTGAATCTAGTTGGGTATGACTGTGTATTGACCATAATCCAAATAACACTAAGTTCAATATTTCCCTAATAACAAACTTATAGATTAAAAAACATTCAACACCCCTCAGATATCACAGGAATTGGGTCTAAAACATTTTGTTTTGTTCTGGTACCTACACCTCCATGGAGGTTGGTAGGAAGAAAACATTGGATCAATGGGATTCCTCACCTGGCATTATATCACAGCAGTCCATGACCAGGAGGACAATGCTAAACTATGGACTATGTTGAAAGTGAAGGTTTCAGGGGGTGCGGCTGATCCGAGGGGGTTCGTGACGTCACGTCACTGCGCGCGCATCTTGACCCAGGCTGGCATGACCTACATTCAGTAACTATCTGCTTGCGACACACGACAAAATGTCAACAGCACTAAGCACTAGCCTCCAGCGAAGCTCCTATTGACCAACACTGGCCCAGAAACTGTCATGTCACTGTAATCACACTGACCCCGTTTGCAATTTCCTAACTTTGAAGAGTTACAAACATAGATGGATCACAAAAACTAATACTAAAACAATGTTTTATAACGTTTCTTGTGAATCTTATGCTTTTTATAAATACTAACCGACGGTTGAAGGCATCGCGAGTATTGTTTCTTTCACTGTTAGCGAGGATCACACAAATATTTTGTTATTGCTCACTGTGATCAACGCCATTTAGTTCACTGAACGTCAACTTGTAAGCAATTATATCTCCGATCACCGCATTCTGATCGCTTTTATTTGACAACACACAACGATTAACACTGTTGATTTATCTAATTTTCACACAAATATGTAATAAATAAATGCTCGTCTTCTTTATTTTACTAAAACCAGGAGCAACATAGACCCGTTAACCTGCCCTATACACAGATCATACTTTTTTTAAGATTCTCCTATTTCAGGGAAGGCAAATGGCAATGCAATACCCATACAGCCTAGTTCTCTAATTTTGTTCATCTTCTTTTTTTTACCATTAGAATGTCGATGTGACGCATTCTAATCTTTCTTGGAGTGATTGGCACGAAATGTTAAGAGTTGGCCATTTCGATAAGCTTCTGGGAGGTAGTCAACACAAAACTGGTGTGATTTTGTGTTACAACCGTCTGCGCAACTGAAAAATTAGTGGACTCTTTAAAATATACGCTATTTCGGTCAAGTGGACGTGAGAACTTTATTGTAATTTCCCAATATCCACTATGAACGAATTTAAGTAAAATTAAAATAAGACGCCAAGCGCACTCGATGAAATCCCGCCAGGAACTCCCGACACTATTACTGTGAATCTTAGGCCGTTAGACCTTACGTTTATTAAAGTGGTCTAATGGTCTAAGCTGTCCGAATGAAAACAACTCACTTAATTTAAGTAGTAGAAATAATTCCGTCCATCGGGACAGGCGAAGGTACTAAGCCATACTGCCAAGTCTTTCACATAGTTTGATATTTTTGACACTAACCCTTTTGACAATTACACACTGACAATGACATTACTTGACAAAAAAACCGGATTGAAATGAAAATCAGTTTTTAGGGAAAATTTTGTATTTTGATAATTTTAAACTGTGTTTTTTTATAAAATAAATACGTTCCTGATCTTGCATAATCCCTACACATAAAACATAGGTGAGAATGTTTATGTTTTTTATTTACGTTATCAAAAGTGCCATTGTTTACATGCATCTTCAGCTGTTCTCTTCGATTTCCTTTAGATATTTTAGTATTAGTAAAAATTTCGATAGCTTCTTTATTATGAGATAAGCAAAGCTGAACCATTAAGAAAAAAGTTGTAGTGAGTGTTTAATAGAAACGTAAAGTAAGTACACTGCTTGCCTCAATAAATGTACAAATATTTGAATCGTACTGTATGTATTTTCTTGTGTATGCCTTGCGGAAAGAGGGTTTCGTAATTCGCACAAATATTAATAACTCAAAATCACATGCTGCATTACATTTAATGATGTTTAGCTATGTCAGTATGTGTAGTTCTTCTTTAAACTCATTAAAATAAACTCAAGAACAATGATAGCGAATGAAAGTTGAATCAATTGGGAATTGTTGGTTGTAGTTTTAATTAAATTACAAAAACATATTAAATCTGGCTAAACTGTACTTCCAGGGCCGGCAGGATTAGTGTTGTGACCAGAAAAAGATTCTGTTAAAAGAAACCTTTTCTACAAAAAAAAATCAAGTATCCACCTCTTGGGCCCTGGAAGCACAGTTTTACCTAAAATCCTATACCTATGTTACTATGGTAAAATGAGTACTTAATTTGAATTTCATTTGACGACCTCCGTGGCCGAGCGGTTTGTACGCCGGGTTTCATGGCTGTCGCCGACTCGAGAGGTCCCGGGTTCGAATCCCGGTGGGGGCAGATGTTTGTATGATGAATACGAGCATTTGTACTCCAGTCATGGATGTTCAATATGTATTTATATAAATATACTTATATATGTACAGTATATGTATTCTATCCGTTACCCTAGCATCCCATAACACAAGCCTTATAGTGCTTACTTTGGGGCTAGGCTAATTGGTGTGAGTGTCGGAAATATTTATTTATTATTTATTTATTGTAACTTAATCAATTATACATTTGGAACTTGTAATTGGTTGCAAATTTATTGCTTTATTTATTTTCTAATCAATATTTAATATGCATATAATGAAATCAGGGATTTATTGAAATAAATGCTAATCTTAAAAAAGCTTGACCAGTAATTTATGGGTGTTCATTCGGGCATGATTCGCTAATCTTAAAACTACACTGTTGTCCATTTTACTTTCTGTAGGTTTCCTTGTCCATTTCTCCCTCATTTTTCTTATGTGGCCTGCCCACCACCATTTTAGAAAACGAACTCAAACTTGTGACTTTGCTAATAGGCCATTAGGAAAGAAACATTGCTATAATAGTTTATTTTATTATTTTTATTTTATTCAGGTAATAAATAGTTGTACAATACATGTTGCATTTTCTATATAATTACTAAGACTTAATTATTATAATGGGTTGGAAGCAAAACTTTACATAGAATGGAATAGAAATTGAATAGCTAGCGGGAGTGCCAGTGACTTCATTTGCATAAAATAATTCTTTCCCTTTAAGTTTTCACTACAAGGTGCCCTTGTCCATTTGCAATGTAGAAAACATTGGAGATGAACATAGGCTCCCACAAGTTAGGAAAAAGGGGTGTTTGCTTTCTGCAGTGACAAGTGGAAAGTTTTCTAAAAGAAACCCACTGTGTATTGTGACCACTGCTGGTTTTCAATACATTGTATGAAAAAGATTTGATCAAATTGATATTTGGACATGCATATCCTTAATCTATTTAGTGTCCAATTCAAAGGTAATACTTTGTAACGTCGTATTTACGCCGTCACATACATAGATAAATAATATATGGTTTGACATCCGTCACTTAAGGATTTTCCCTATTTTTTTTAATAAACGAAACATCTTTAAAAATTGTCTTAATTTTATAAAACATTAAAATAAATACGTAATAATTGTCATTCTAAATTTAAGTAAACTTTTGTAATTTATGGTTAGTCCATGCCCAAATTTAAATTTTAATGCGCCAACACTGAGACTCGCGGCGTTTTTGGAAGTGCGACCTGGCAACATTACTTTTCGATTCTTTGCAGACACGACCAGTCACTTTTTAAAAATGTGAAATATAATAATAATTTATAGTTCGGTTTCTTTTTCCAAAAATGCGCTCATCGCATTTTTGCAAACTAATATTGGTGCCAATGGCCCATTAGTAAAACTTTAAAAGAGCTGCGATTGCAGGTAAGAATTAAGATTAAAATTGTCATACATATATCTAGCCATGTTGCCTGGTCTCACAAATGTCTCTTTTGTTTCAGCTCTTTATACTCTTTAAGTTGTGGAGGCTTCGGAGAGAGATGGTAAATGAAAGAGCTTTTGTGTTAGATTAATTTTATTCGAGCTTAGGCTCCCCTATTTATATGATCAAGGTATGGTTAGACAAGGACAGCACATCGACACAATTTCCGTCTCGCTCCAACATCGTCGTAAATATGTGCGCGCTACGCGTCCTTCGCCAGTGTTGGTGCTTGTGCCGTTGGTAGAAGCCGTGGATGCGCTCGGCGGTGATAAAAACATTGCGACGGTTGATTGGCGACATATAAATATCTCAGGCCGCGCGCTCCGCGCCAGTATGCAGTGCGCCGCCGCGCCGTGCGGGCACGTTCTGTATGCGCATGACTCCCATATCACTCCCCCCTTAAGAAAAGCGTACGATTTTCTTAACTATTCTTCCGCTCCTCGTGATATAAGGTTGATTAGCAGTGGTCGAGTCATGGCGAGTTTCTGATGTATGGGAGTGAGCTGGCGGCGCCGAAGTCTGGGTGTTCGATGAACATGTTTCCGCTTCTTTCACGATGTAGGCCGGTTTCAGTCGATCCAGTGACACAACTGTGGTTCGTCGTGGTAGCTGGATTTTGTAGTACTTGTCGTAGCGCTTCAGTACTTCATAGGGGCCATCGTACGGTGGTGTGAGTGGCGCTCTGACGGTGTCATTCCGAACGAAGACATGTGTGCACGTCGCTAAGTCTTTGTAAACAAAGAGCTTGTCAGCTGATAGTGAGCGGTGCGCTGTCGGCGTCAGTGACGTCATCGTGCGAGTGAGATGGCGTACAAGCTCGGCGTCGTCGATCTTTGAGCTTCGTGGTTCAAAGAAATCTGATGGTATGCGGAGTGTGGTGCCATATGTCATTAGCGCTGGGCTGAGGTTGTTGTCTTGACGCAGCGCTGTTCGTAATCCCAGTAATACAGTTGGAAGTTCCTGTGTCCAAGTCGTTGTTGCCCCGCGAGCCATAAGCGCAGCTTTCATCGTTCGGTGCCATCGTTCAACTTGTCCATTCGACTGTGGGTGGTACGCGGTGGTACGCAATCTGTTGATACCCATTTTCTTCATTAGTGCGTTGAACAAATAGGACTCGAATTGTCTTCCCTGGTCTGTTGTGATGCGTAGCGGGCAGCCGAATCTCACTATCCATGATTCATATAATACTTGTGCGACGACTTCGGCTGTGACGTCACGGACTGGGATTGCCTCGGGCCATTTCGTGCATCGGTCAATTATAGTGACACAGTACCGATAGTCATTAGATAAGCGCAGCGGGCCGACAATATCTATATGTATGTGTTCGAATCTTTGTGACGGCGGGAACTGTACTAACGGCGTGTTTACGTGCCGATGTACTTTCGCTCGCTGGCAGCTTATGCAGGCTCGCGTCCATGATGTCACTTGTTGGTTCATTGACGGCCAGAAAAATTTTGTTGTCATCTGCTTGCGTGTTGTTTTGATTCCCGGGTGGCAAATATCGTGTTGCGCTTTGAATGCCGCATAGCGATATGCCGCGGGTAAATATGGGCGGGGCGTGTCTGTCGACATCTCACAGGTGATTGGTCGGCTAAGTTGTGGTAAAGTTATCTCGGCGAAATTCAAATTTGATTGTTTCTTCAATTGTTTCAGTTCTTCATCGTTATTCTGGTCAATTGCCAATTGATTGTAGTCTATGACAGTTGGGCAATGTATCTCTTCAATTCGTGATAGGGCATCGGCGACTGCGTTATCTTCTCCACATAAATATTTGATAGATGAACAGAATTGGCTGATGAAGTGAAGTTGACGCTCGCGGCGCGGGGTGTCGTTCTTGCTTTCTTTCTTGTTGAGAGCGTAGACAAGCGGTTTGTGGTCGGTGTATATAGTAACATCACAGCCTTCTATGAGTCTTCTAAATTGTTTTACAGCCGTGTATATCGCTAATAGTTCGCGGTCGTACACGCTGTAGCGGCGTTGTGTGTCGCTCATCGACTTGGAGAAGAATGCCAGTGGTTTCCAGACATTGTTTACTTTTTGTTGAAGTACAGCGCCGAGACTATGGTCTGAGGCATCGGTCATGATGGCCAAAGGACTGCCGTGGACTGGAAACGAGAGTGTGGTGGCTTCTGAGATGCTTTGACGGCATTTTTCAAAAGCTTCATCTGCTTGCGGTGTCCACTCTATAGGCGTCTTGTCGTTTTTCTTTCGGTTATGTAAATATTTGTTTAATTCATGTTGGAAGTCGGCTTGGTGTGGCAGGCAGTCTCGGTAAAAGTTGAGCATCCCCAGGAAACGACGTAACTCGACGATTGTTTTCGGCTTGGGATAAGTAGATATGGCTTTCACTCGTTCCGATGTAGGTTTTACACCGGCCGCTGATACTTCGTAGCCGAGGTAATCTATTGTTTCTTTTCCAAATTCGCATTTTTCTATGTTTAGCGTCACTCCGTGCTTGTCCAACCGCTGTAAAACTTGATGAAGGAGTTTCTTATTTTTTTCTTCGTTTTCTTCGAATAAAAGGATATCGTCAACGAAGCAGAAGCAGCCATCTATGCCTCTCAGTACCTCGTGCATGAATCTTTGAAAGGTTTGGCTGGCGTTTCGTAGACCAAATGTCATACAGTTGAATTCAAACATTCCAAAGGGTGTTGTAATTGCAGTTTTCTGTGCGTCTTCCTTGGCAATTGGTATCCAGTAGTACGCCATTTTTAAATCCAATTTTGAGAATATTTTTTTGTTATGCAGTTGGTATGTGAAGTCTTGTATGCGAGG